AATAAAGGCCATATAATGAGAGACCTACAGCCAACATCATACTCAGTGGGCAAAAACTAAGATCTTCTCCATTAAGATCAGGGACAAGACAAGGATGTCCACTTTCACCACTTCTATTCAATATAGTATTGGAAGTTTTAGCCACAGTGATCAGGCAAGAAAAGGAAATAAAAGGCATCCAAATTGGAAAGGAGGAAACAAAACTGTCATTGTTTGCAGATGACATGATAGTGTACATGAAAAATCCTATATACTCTACTCAAAAACTGCTCAAACTAATAAATGAATTTGGCAAAACAGTGAGTTACAATGTCAATATCCAGAAATCAAAGGCATTTTTGTATAATAACAATAATCAGCAGAAGGAGAAATCAAGAAAAAATCCCATTTGATATAGCAAAAAGAAAAAATAAAATATCTGGGAATAAACCTAACCAAGGAGGTAAAATACCTGTATGAAGAAAACTACACAACACTGAAGAAAGAAATCAAGGAAGACACAAACAAATGTAAACATATACTGTGTTCACGGATAGGAAGAATTAACATCATCAAAATGTCCATACTACCCAAAGCAATGTACATATTCAATGCGATACCTATTAAAGTACCAATGGCATATTTCACAGACATAGAACAAACACTTCAAAAATTTATATGGAACCATAAATGACCCCGAATAGCAGCTGCAATTTTGAGAAAGAAGAACAAAGTAGGAGGGATCACAATACCTGAGAGTAAATGGTATTACAAGGCCACTGTAATCAAAACAGCCTGGTACTGGCATAAAAACAGGCACACAGACCAGCACAGAGAGCCCAGAAATAAACCCAACTCTCTACAGTCGATTAGTATTTGACAAAGGGGACAGTAACATAAAATGGAGTAAAAAATAGCCTCTTCTACAAATGGTGTTGGGAGAACTAAACAGCTATGTGCAAAAAAATGAAACTCGAGCACCAACTTACACCATACACCAAAAGAAATTCAAGGTGGATAAAAGACTTAAATATAAGCCGTGACACCATTTAAAGTCCTAGAGAACATTGTCAGGAAAATCTCAGACATTTCACAGAGCAACATTCTTACTGATATGTCCCCTAGAGCAAGGAATATAAAGGAAAGAATAAACAAATGGGGATCTCATCAAAATAAAAAGTTTCTGCGTAGCTAAAGAAAACAGTATTAAATTAAAAAGACAACCAACTGTATGGGAAAACATATTTGCCAATGATACCTCAGACAATGGTTTAATCTCCAAAATATACAAAGAACTTATACAATTGCACTCTAAGAAGACAACTAACCCAATTAAAAATGGGAAAAGGACGTAAACAGACACTTCTCTGAGGAAGACATACATAGGATCCAGAGAGACCTAAAAAGATGCTCAATATCTCTAGCTACCAGAGAGATGCAAATTAAAACCACAATGAGATACCACTTTACACCAGTTGGAATGGCTATCATAAACAAAGCAACAAACAACAAATGTTGGACAGGTTGTGGGAAAAAGGGGTCCCTAGTTCACTGTTGGTGGGATTGCAGACTGGTACAACCATTATGGAAAAGAGTATGGAATTTTCTCAGAAAACTAAAAATGGAACTGCCTTTTTTTTATATAATAAATTTTATTTAGTTACTTTTCAAGTACATTTTTTATCTATTTCTCCCATCCCCCCCCCCACCCGGCCTCCCCCCTCCCTCCAATTTCCCCTCCCCCAGTCCTCATCCCTGTGTCTTTCATACTTGTTCCTCAAAATCCCTCCCCCTTTTTCCCCTTAAATTCCCTTCCCTCACCCCTCTGGTTGCTGCCCACTTGTTCTCTATTTCAGTGTCTTTGTTTTTATTCTGTTTGCTTGTTTGTTTTATTCTTTAGCTTCCTGTCAAAGGTGAGATCATATGGTATTTGTCCTTCAATGCCTGACCTATTTCACTCAGCATAATGCTTTCCATGGAACTGCCTTTTGACCCAGGAATTCCACTGCTTTGATTATATCCTAAAAACCCTAAAACACCAATCCAAAAGAACCTATACACCCGAATGTTCATAGCAGCACAATTTGCAATAGCCAAGAGCTAAAAGCAACCCAGGTGCCTGTCAGTAAATGAATGGATCAAAAAATTGTGGTACATATACACAATGGAATTCTATGCAGCAGAAAGAAAGAAGGAGCTCCTACCCTTTGCAACAGCATGGATGGAACTGGAAAGCATTATGCTGAATGAAATAAGTCAGGCATTGAAAGACAAATACCATATGATCTCACCTTCAACAGGAAGCTAAACAACAAAACAAACAAGCAAGCAAAATAAAAACAATGACACTGAAATAGAGAACAGGGGGACAGTGACCAGAGGGGATAGGGGAGGGGATTTCAGGGCAAAAGGGGGAGGATTTACAGGAACTAGTATAAAGGACACATGGACAACAACTAAGAGGGGTGGAAATGGGAGGAAGGTGGGTGCACTGGGGGGAGTGGGCTGGGATGGGAGTAAAAGACAAAAAACTGTACTTGAAAAATAATTAAATAAAAAAACAATTTTAAAAAAAGAAAGAGACTGATATTTGACATGTGTCAAATATTAAACAGCAACTTGGCCTTATTCATTTCATTACACAGACTTAAACTTAGGCTACAAGTAAATGAAAACAATCCGCTCTGTGGCCTGTCTTTCCACAGGGTTCCACTTGGGCTTGTGTTCTCCACGTATTCCCATGGGCATTTTCAAAGTTAGGTTCTTTTCTCTGCAAAGGAATAAGACCCAGGCACCAAGAAACGAAGACAATGGAGCCCATTAAAAAGGATGTCTTTGGAGATACTGAAGTAGCCTTGATCGGACAACTAGCAAAAGAGAAGACTTCCAGGTTTAGTGTAATCTTTATAATAGAGTTTCACAGTAAATCTTTGTTAATTCAATAAAAAATGACTAAAATTAACATTTTTTAATTTAAATTATTTTATTGTTGTTCAATTACAGTTGTATTTTCTCCACATGGCTCTCTACCACCCTCTCCAAACCCACCTCCCTTCCTTGCTTCCACCCCCCCCCTTGGTTTTGACCATGTGTCTTTTATAGTAGTTCCTGAATACCCTTCCCCCCACTGTCTCTTCCCACCTCGCCTCTGGCTATTGTTAAATTGTTCCTAATTTCAATGACTGGTTATATTTTGCTTGCTTTCTTCCTTTTGTTATCTTCCAGTTAAAGCTGAGATCATATGGTATTTGTCCAAAACTGCCTGGCTTATTTCACTTAGCATAATGCTCTCCAGTTCCTTCCATGCTGGCACAAAGGTTATAAGCTCCTTCTTTCTCTCTGCTGCATAGAATTCCATTGTGTTAATATACCATGGTTTTCTGGTCCATTTATTTGGTGATGGGCACTTAGGTTGCTTCCAGCACTTGGATATTGTAAATTGTGCTGCTTATGAACACTGGGGTGCGTAAGTTCCTTTGGATTGGTGTTTCAGGGCTCTTAGGGTAAATCCCAGCAGTGGAATTGCTGGGTCAAAAGGCAGTTCCATTTTCAGTTTTCTGAGGAAATTCCATACTATTTTACACAGTGACTGCACCAGTAGGCATTCCCCCAAATTAATATTTTCAAGTAAATTGGTATATTTACACTGTTTGTATTGTATGTCTATATTTACATACAAAATGCAAATATTATAAGTCATTGTGGAAAAAGAAAGCTATAACATACTGTTTAAATACATCCTACTTATGTAAATAAAAATTTATGAATAAAAAACACTTTAGAAGGACAAAGATAATAATGGAAGGCTGAGTACTTTATTCTTTGTTTTCATGTTTACATTGTTTGGAGTTCCTTCATGAAGCAGAATTCATTTTGTAAGCAGTAAACCAAAAAGGAGTATCCACTGGGGAGAAAAAACCCTCTTCACACCCCCAAGTTATGAGCTAACTAACCGGGAGAAACACAAATCTGGCAGGGAAGGGCAGGAAGGAGGTCTTCGCACATCTTTTGGTCTCACACTTGCAGGGCATCCACCCTGATGTTCTTTCTAAGGATGGTGTTTCCTCACAGTTTCCTATCTGCCTCAGAATTACCTCAGCCCTGATCTCATGAATGAGCAATTCTGGAGGTAGAGCATCTTTAACAAGCTCCCAGGTGATTATGCTCAACAGCAAAGTTTAGGGACCACTGCCCTAGGGCACCTGTCCTGCAGGGAGTAAGAAGACTGAGCAATTAAGATGTGTTTAATGCAGGTCTCTAACCAAGAACCTGTTGCTTTGTCCCTTGGGTCCATTCCCTGATAGATAGAGAGGGGTCTCCTCATCTCCATTTCTGAAGCTGATGAATTGAGAAGAGTGAACTCCAAGCTTGTGCTGTTACCCTCTGGTGTCAGTGAGAGGTTTAAGATCCAGCAATCCGGTCCCTGGGTGTCCCACAGAGAAGCGGAAAGACTAGTCACTACTCCAAGAGGCTAGATGAATTCAGCATAACATTCAAGGCAGAACTGGGTCCTTTGTCAGGAGCAGGTGTGTGCATGCCTGTGGGAGGGTATGCTCAGGTGTTCATCACTTTTCTGTGCTCTTTGTGAAGTCACTTATTACTTCTTCCTTAGGACAGCGATATCACAATCATCACTCTGGTGAGCCGTCAGTAAATGAGTATAGCCAGCTGCCTTCCCAATTATGTCCTGCCTATAATCCCCAGTATAGTTCCATACCTTCCTCAAAGACATCAAACCTTGGGCCTAGGAAACATCTACAACCTAAGTTACATTTGCCTGACTTCCACTGAAGACACAGAGTTTCTTCACTAGAGAACTCTGCATTTTACATTTAATTGAATCAATGTCACTTAATATAGGACACATCCTAGGATCAAACATGTGTTGATTATACTTTTCTCACTGTCCTTTCATCCCCAGCTGAAAGGGGAGGTCCATGAGGAAGGACAACCAGAGCAGCGTATCCGAGTTCCTCCTCCTGGGGCTGCCCATCAGGCCAGAGCACCAGGGCACCTTCTTTGCCCTGTTCCTGGGCATGTACCTGACCACAGTACTGGGCAACCTGCTCATCATCCTGCTCATCAGGCTGGACTCCCGTCTACACACACCCATGTACTTCTTCCTCAGCCACTTGGCCCTCACTGACATCTCTTTCTCATCTGTCACTGTCCCTAAGATGTTAATGAGCATGCGAACTCAGGATCAATCCATTCCCTATGCAGACTGCATAGCACAGATGTATTTTTTCATATTTTTTACTGACCTGGACAGCTTCCTTCTCACCTCAATGGCATATGACAGGTATGTGGCCATCTGTCACCCCCTCCACTACATGACCATCATGAGTGAGGCACTGTGTGCCTTACTAGTGGCTGTGTCCTGGATCCTGTCCTGTGCCAGTGCCCTATCCCACACCCTTCTCCTGGCCCAGCTGTCCTTCTGTGCTGACAACACTCTTCCCCATTTCTTCTGTGACCTTGGTGCCCTGCTCAAGCTCTCCTGCTCAGACATTTCCCTCAATGAGCTTGTCATTTTCACAGTAGGAGTGGTTGTCATTACTCTCCCACTAATATGCATTCTGATCTCTTATGTCCGCATTGGGGCCACCATCCTGAAGGTTCCATCTACCAAGAGCATCTGCAAAGCTTTGTCTACATGTGGCTCCCACCTCTCTGTTGTATCTCTTTATTATGGAACAATTATTTGGGTCTATTTTTTCCCCTCATCCAGCACCTCCAGTAACAAGAACATAATTGGCTCTGTGATGTACACAGTGGTCACTCCACTGCTGAACCCTTTCATTTATAGTTTAAGGAACAGGGACATGAAGGGGGCTCTGGAGAAACTCCTCAACAGGCAAAAGTTTTGTCTCAACAACATTTGCTCATCTGTATAAGAGACAGATTTATTCCCAGATGCCAGCCCCCTAATCTTGAGCCCCACACTCTTGAGCCCTGCAGGCAATAAGTGCTTGGTAAGTTATTGATAAGTTGAATTACATTCTAGTACAGGTATTCTCTCTTTTCCTTGCAATTCTTTAGTATAAATCACGAGATCTAACTTGATATTATTGATCATTACTCTTGTCCATTAGAGTAAGAAACGGATAGCTAGTAGAATTTATGCCTTTCCTCTCTTATTTCCTGGGAATTTATTAGTTATTTTAAAAACAGGTTTATTGAAGTAAAATTGACATATAAACATTGTATATATTTATAGTATACAACCTGATGCTTTGATATATATACATATATATAGTGAAATAATCACAATTAAGCAAATTAATATATCTATCACCTCCACATAGATATCCTTTCATTTTACTGCTGTGTATGTGATGATACGACTGAATTTAAGATCCACCCTCCTAGCAAATAAAAGTGAACAACACTGCATTGTTAACTGTAGTCACCATGCTGTACATTGGACCTCAGGAACTACTCATCATGCATGCCTAAAACGTTGTACATTATGCTAAGTGAAATAAGTCAGTCTGAAAAGAGATAAATACTGCATGATCTCATTTATAAGTGGAATCAAAAGCAGTCAAATTCATAGAAGCAGAGAATAGAATGGTGGTTTCCAGAGGGTGCATGGTGGGGGGAGTTGAGTGATATTGGGAATTTATTAGTTTTTGTGAATTGTTGGAAGATATTGGCTAATGGGGCTCCCTTGGCATATAAAAGGTTGTAGAATTGGGAATTTGTAAATTATCTCCTTTCCTTTCCTCACCTCATTTAGTGCTCTTTCTGTATTTTTTGTTGTTGTTGGTGGTGATGGTGCAGCAGGAAAAGAAACTGCATAGTGCCCTTTGTAGCTCAGGGAAAATACCCACAGTTATGAGTTTTGCTGCTCCACATATCAATCTCTTCAATATCTGTCTCTCTGAAAAATTATTTTCACTCAGCTTAGTGACTCCAGGTTTGTATTATGCACCCAAGTAATCTAACTTCATTGTCATCCAGTGAAGGACCACACAGTTCTCTTCAGGCTGTACTTAGTTAATCCAGGAAGCTCAGAGAGTCCCAAAGAAGTTGGATCCAAGAAGGAACACACCAAGGCACATCATAATTACATTAGCCAAGATTAAAATGGAGAGAATTCTAGAAGCAGCAAGAGATAAGAGGACAGTCACTTACAAAGGTGTTCCCATCAGACTGTCAGCGGATTTCTCAAAAGAGACCTTACATGCAAGAAGGGGCTGGAAAGAAGTATTCCAAGACATGAAAACCAAAGACCTACAACCAAGATTGCTCTATCCAGCAAAGTTTTCATTTAGAATGGGAGGACAGATAAAGTGCTTCTCAGATAAGATCAAATTCAAGGAGTTCATCATCATCAAGCCCTTATTATATGAAATGTTAAAGGGAGTTACCTAAGAAAAAGAAGATAAAAAACATGAACAGTGAAAGGACAGCAAACTCACAGTTATTAACAACCACACCTAAAACAAAAGCAAACTAAGAGGACAGCTGACCAGGAGTGAACCATAGAAATGAAGATCGTATGGAGGGTTAGCAACAGGGGAGTGGGAGAAGAAGAAGAGGGGAGAAGGTAGAGAAAATAAGTGGCATAGACCATAGATAGAAAATAGATAGGGGAGAGGGTAAGAATAGTAGGAGAAATATAGTATCTAAAGAACTTGAGACATGTGGTCATGAACTAAAGGGGGGGATGGTGGGGGAGGGGTTGTGCAGGGTAGAGGGGAATGGAGGGGGGAATAGAACAAATGTAATGGAATAATCAATAAAATAAAAAATATTTTAAAAAAGAAAGAAAAAAAGTAAAAATAAATAAATAAAATATTTTGTGTTAAAAATTAAAAAAAGAATAAATAGGATCATAAATGCTTGTGAGACTCAGCACCATGTAGCTATAAAAGAGAAGTATTTGGGAAAGACAGATCCCAACTGTGAACTGTATCTATCAGTGTGTGTGGCCTGAGGCCATTTACTTAACTCCCCTATCAATTTCTTCTTCTGGGTAAATTGAGAAACTACTAAGATATTTAATATATTGTTTATTTGAAATAAATGACATGCTAAATTTGGCTTAGCATTACAACTGACCAACAGTAATGAACATTAGCTTTCCCTACCTATGCATGAGGTGAATTTTGGAGAACTTGCATAGATAATGCCTGAGTAATGGTGAGCATGGGAGCAAGGCATGTAAATTACAACCACGATTCAAATTCTACCACCTGTCCTAGGACACAGCAACCCATCTTCTCTGGCTTGAACTAGAACCAATGACTTAAGGAACAATGGACAAGTGAGTTGTTAGGTGGGTAGATGAGAAAAGACAGACCAGAACAGAATCTTATTCTCTACTCTCAATATTCACTCACAGTTGCCCTGGACCTGGAGCGGATGGTCTGCCTTTCAGCATCCCAGCTTATTTTAATGTGGAAAAACAAAGAGTGCCCTGCACCCCCACCCTATTCTATTAAGCTGCAGGCATGAAGTCTCTTTATCTGCAGGTTCAGTCTCAATCAGTTTTGGATACAAAATAAAACTTGAATGAGACTGGAGACTTTCTTGCTAGTCTAGAGAAAGCAGGCTTTGGTTGACCTTGACACACCAATGAATACGTGGCTCAGTTTCTCTTCTCACACTCCAGTTCTGTGGCTTGGATCTCTGATCTTCTGTCAGGCCCTGTCAGACCCATCCTCCAAAGGGGTACCACTGTCATTCATATTTTTAGCCATGGATTGGTGACATTGCTCTGAGTGGATTTTCCTCAAGAAATGCTAAGTCCACTCACCTGTTGGGAAGTGTTTTATCACCACCTGCCATGCTAGATCAGCCTTCCCTGGTTATGGACAGCCCAGTGCAAACTGGTACTTGCAATACTGATTTAATACATATATAGAACTTCTGGAAATGGCTTTGGAAGTGCGCAGTTTATCTGGGGCATCTCCCTTCAGCCACACCAAGGCTATCTCATGACCTTCCCTGGAAAACACACCTCACTGGGTTTAGAACACAGTGTGCTACATTTTCAAAAATTGTGTGTGATATGATCACAAGTTTGCAAATACTTATGGAAGTTAGTAAGCACTGACATTTCAACTGACCCATTTGTGTCCTCAAAAGTTAAAGGTAACATTAACCTTTCAAAGTGTAACAATGATAGACAGACTTTTTTCAGGGGAGAAGAATCACAACATCACGGAACCAGGCACTCCAGCATTCACATTAGAGCTTTGGATGATATATTATTATACATGTAAAATTGTAACTCAGACATATAAATTTCGAGAGTAAAAGTGATTCTATTTTGCCACATATGGAAAGTGGAGATTTACTAAATTAGAATCACTTGGCTTTCAAGGGAAATATAGAAAACCCTAAGTGTTACACTTATTATTATCTTTGAAGATTCTTTTTTGGGGGGAGGGGGGAAGCAGCTGTAAATGAAATCAGGAGGACACCTCAAGTACACATAAAATTTAATGTACTTGTCATTAAGGATAAAATGTTGGAGTTAATACCAGAAAAATAATGAGACTTTCCATTTCTTATTGATTCTGTAATTCAGAAATAGCCATTTAGGAAGTTTATTATTCTATGTCAATAAGCCTCGCCCTGGTCATACAGAGCTGGATAAAGACATGACCTACATGCTAATGAAGGGAACAGTCTAGAGACAGGGGAACTCAAAGATATGTATGAGTATTAAAAAGTATTTTTATATAATACTACTACTAATACCTGCTTATTATGCATGTTTACTATGTGTCAAGCACTATATTAAAAGCTTTATCTTTATTATCACTTTTAATTCTCATAATAATCCTATGAGGCATATACTGTTATTATCTGCATGTCTCAGTTGAGGAAACTGAGGCTTAGAGACAATTACATAATTACAATCAATGATAATAGCACAAAGGAGGATATGGTCAATGCTGCCTGTATATCAGCAAAAGCTTTACAGGGGAAGTAGTTATTCAGTTAAGTGTTAAAGGATACTCAGGATTATAATATATAATGGCAGAAATGGCAATCTAGGCAGAGAGAACAGAGGGAACTAGGGCACTGAAATACCAGGGAAATGTAAAACATTGGGGGTTGCTAAACTGTATGTGTGAAATGAGTCAAGTCAAGGAATATGTACAAAGGACCCATGGTCAAGGACAACAGGGTGGGGATTGAATGTGGGGGGCACAGGACAAGGGAGGGTAATGGTGGGGGGAAGAAGCAAAACTGTACTTGGACATTAAAATTTTTTTTAATAAAAAGAAAAATTATATGTGTGTATGAGTTGGCAGAGCATCAAGAGATGAGCCTAGGCAGGCAGACAAGGGCTATGTTACATAGGGGCTACAGTGCCTTGTTGGGGAGCTTAGATGCTGCCTTGCACGTAATGGAGCACTGTTGCCTGGGGATGGGATAAAGTGGAGATTAAACACAGGGCAGGCTAGGTTTGTGTTACCAATGGATTGGATGGCCTAGGGCCAAGGAGCTCAATCAGTAGATCCAGGTAACAGGTGATGTATATTTGAATTGAGACAACTGCACAGGGGATAGATAAGAGAATATCTCTAAAAATAGACTAGACCTGGTCTTGGTAATCAATGGGAACTAGATGGTAGAATAAAGAATTGTTCTTGATCTCTGGCTCTGAACTGATATTTAAGAACACAGTGGAAGACTAGGCACTTTCAATAATTTTGATTAAGTTTAACAGTCAATGAAGTGAGGAAACAAGTTTGTGACCACCTGCTTTTGAATAAAGGGTTCCAAGCAGGAAGAAGGCAAATACTCTAATTAGGCAAGGGGCACCAGGAAGCTCTTCATCACTACCACCACCCACACTGATCCCAATGAAAAGCACATCCCACTCCTATCACACCACCAAAATGCAAAGATTTATAAATAATTTGTACTTCAGTGTGAATCATTTTAATGTCAACACTACATTAACCTTGTTTGAAACAGTTGACCTTAAAGGAACAGAGGTGTGAACTTTGGGATTGGGGGTGAGTATAGCTGGGTGTACCAAGGGAGTAATATATTTGGAATTTGGAATACAGTGGTAACTATATTGGACGGGTGGGAGCTAAGGATGTTACTACTGAACAGTGATAGTCAATAGTGCCCCTTGGTGGACCTTTGCAATGTGGGGGTCACCGAAGTGGATACCCAGCCTCATCTCCTAGTTTGCTTGGGGCCTGCAGCAAAGAATTTAAATGCAGCCCTAAACATGGTTTAAACATGTATTGCACTGTCAACAGGTTAAGATTCCCTGAGGGTCCACAGGGCTGACTGAGCAGTTTGAGCAGCAGGTTCTGGATGTCAGAGGGCACATGGACAGCAGGGACAGTATGAGTCCATGTCCAGCAATCTCATACCTCAGCCTCCCATGTGTTTGCAAACTGTCATCAGGGGCTGTAGAACTCTGCCAGGGGACCTGCTCCTGAAAGAGCTGATCATGAGAAGTGGAAGATATCTTCTTGCCAGCTCAAAGGACAGAAGCAAGTGGAGGTCACTGGCTCAGAGGACACTACCAGTGGCCCACAGCATGTAGAACAGCAGATAGCAGTCAAATGAAAGAGTTATAGACCAAGGAGACTCGAGCAGCAGGACCCCAGGGTTGCTGCAGCTCTGGTTATGTGAGAAAGCTCTCCTCACCCATTCAAGGACTCCTAGAGAGAGTATCTGGAAGGGAGATCTAGGGAGAAGAATAGAAGTCCTGTTCCAGGTCACCCAACACATGGAATCCCCAAGCACTAAGATGTGGCATGCTGCCCTCAGTGAGTCACACATTCCTACTTGCCAACTCCTGATGCCTGGGGCAGTTTGATTCCATGAAAGATGCTCCATAATCATTTGCTGAAAGAATACAGAAATTGTGTAACATTTTAAGATATGTTGGGTCTTAGAAACAAACTGTGATAAGGAGGGGGTTTAGGCAGCCCAGGGACACCTGGTCACACCAGAGAAATGCAAAAAATTGACATTATAGGGCCCTTAATTTTTTAAAAATCATATTTTAAATATTTACAAGATTCCTGGAGGCAGAACAACACTTATATTTACAAGATACTTAGAGGCAGAACAACACTTATAGGACTATAAACGTACTTTTGTCTGTCCCTGCAATAAATTTAAGCTGCTGGTGCCCCTTTTAGAGCAGAAGGCAAATAAGAAAAGAGGGCTATAGCGTTCCTATTGACCAATCACAAAAAGGATGCAGGCTTCATGGAGCACTTCCTACCAGCTGGGGAAGAGGCGGTATAGGAAATCTCAATGCCTCCCAGGGAAGTTGTGGCAAACCACAGGAAGTGGGGCAACTGGCACAGAAATCTAAACACTGAATTTCAACCTTCTGGTGGGGAACTCGTCATCTATTCTGCATCTCGTGGAATGGAAACTCTATCCTTCTTTTATTTTATTTTAATTTTTGGTCTTAACCTCCATTTAAGTGCTATAAGCAAGATTTATGCTCTGCCCAATTTTTTTTTTTTTTGTAATTGACAAACTAATAATCTGGAATGAATGTGTCATGGAAGCAGGAACTGTGTTTTGATCTGTGCTATATCCCCAGCACTTATAACAGCTCCCAGCACAAAGTAGGTGTCTGGTATATATTTGTTAAAGGAATGAATCTCAGAGAAAAGATTTCTATCTTTTTGAGTAGTGGAAGGATGAAGAGTGACAACAGTGATAATAACTACTATCATTTATTGAAAACTTACTATTTATTTACTAGCCACTATACCAGATGTATTTCATAGTTTATCTCTGCTAATTCTCCGAGTCACCTTATTAGAGATTATTATTTCATTTAGATGAGAAGTCTAGCTCGGAGAGGTTAGCAATCTTATGGGTAGTGTGTGGTAGAGCCAAAACTGAAGCCAGGTTTGTCTGACTCCAAGCCTATGTCTTTTCATTAAAGGTTGATACCACTGTATCTAAGAAAAAACTCTTCCACAACTGAGAAGCCTCCTAAGGGCCCCCTTCATGTCCTTGTTCCTTAGGCTGTAGATAAAGGGGTTCAACATGGGGACCACCACAGTGTACACTGCTGCTGCTGCAATGTCCTTTTCTTCAGAGGCAACAGAAGGAGGGCACAGGTAGGCACCAAAGAGGGTCCCATAGAACACACAGACAACACAGAGATGGGAACTGCAGGTGGAAAAGGCCTTGCCCGCCCCACCAGGAGTTTGCATTCTCAGGATGACCGATATAATGTGGAGGTAGGAGATAACAATGCAAATAAAAGGGATGATGAGTACTGTGCCTCCTAAGGCAAAAACCATCAACTCATTGACGTGGGTATCAGAACATGACAACTTCAGGACAGGAGTTATATCACAGAAAAAGTGAGCTATTTCCCCCACAACGCAGAAGGACAGCTGAGTCATAAGAAGGGTATGAGTTAGGGCAACAGCGTGGGTGAGGACCCAGCATAAGGCAAGCAGCAGGGCACAGACTCTGGGGTTCATGACTGCAGAGTAGTGGAGAGGGCGGCAGATGGCTACATAGCGGTCATATGCCATTATGGCCAGGAAAAAGCTGTCCAGGTCACCAAACATCAGAAAGAAATACATTTGTGTGAGACAACCAGCATAGGAGATGGTATGATGCTGAGTCTGAACATTCACCAGCATCTTGGTAACTGTGGAGGATGTTAAACCCATGTCAACGAAAGATAGATTGGCCAAGAAGAAGTACATGGGGGTGTGGAGGTGCGGGTCAGAGCTGATGGCCAGGATGATGAGCAGGTTTCCCACCAAGGTGATAAAATACATAGACAGGAAAATACCAAAGAGTAACTGCTGTTGCTCTGGTGACCTAGATATTCCTCGGAGGAAAAATTCAGAGAGGCAGGATTGGTTTTCCATGACTCTGGAGCATCTGGAAGTTAGAAAAGATTGTTAGAGTGCTAGATTTATTCTAGAATTCTATGTGTTGCTGACTTCCAAATCTTCTAACTCCTAAATCTCCCTTTAAATTCACTGTTATCCCCAATCCTGACTTTACCTCCAATCTGACCCTACTTTCTTCTTTTTCTCTCTTCTTTGGGACTCTCATTATTTGTTTGTTGTTTTTCTTTCCTCATCCTTCCCTCTGATAAATCTTTTATACAGAGGATACTCTGCTAAGGAGGCACTGGGTGTGTTCAATGCTGGGGATTACCACATCTTGAACTAGGTCCACAGCCCCGTGTCGATTTCATCATCGCAGTAACATGGATACATGAGTATGCTGAGGTGAGCTAGAGCTTACATTCTCTGGTAGCCCCTACATCCATACAAAATTCTTTTTAAAACACCTATAATATCTCATTTTACAATGCAGGGCATTATGAAGGACACATTTCCCTTTATCTCCTCATCATTTCTCCTGAACTAGAAAGATGGAGTTCTGCATTTTGTTCACTGTTTGCACTTTTGTCCCTGTTATCACCATCACCTTGTAGCTAATATCTACCAGCCACTCGTTATACATCAGGTGCTCTACTAAGCACTTCATACAGACTGCTTCCTAAAACACTGCTGGGCAGCAGAGACTACTGTTATTGCCTTTGTATAGAGGAGAAAACTGAGCATAAAGATGCCTGAGTAATTTGCACATGGACCCACAGCTTGTAAATATTTGAGACAGAATTCAAACTCATAGCCTTGACACCATAAATTGTATCATCAATCAGTACAGATAGAAAGTGATTTTCTATCTCCACATTTATATATTAATCCCTCAGTATTCCTAGTTTAATATCTTCAGCTTCACTTACCCTTCCTATCTTGTATATTTGTCTTTTACAGAAAAACAATAAAGTTTAAGAACTAGTACAGCCCATAGGATCTGGTCCAAAGGTCCCCAAACATTGGTCTGTGAACCAGTTTACCAACCAAGTGAGATGCTTAACAAAACAGAATCCTGAGACTTCTTGAGTTAAATTCTCTAGGATACAGTCTGGGTATATGTATTTAAAACTGAAAATGAAAACTAAGCCCTCCTCAGGTATTGTAATGCTTAATAAAGCTTAAGAAAAATTCACTTAGTTCAACTCTTCATTTGATTCAGAGATGAATAAGCTAAGCTTCAGAAAAGTGATTGTAAACACAAAACTTAAGGTTCAAAAGAGGAAAGTTTACACCGTGCCTTGGAGGAAGATATGACACAAGGATCAGCGTATCCAGGCTCTCAGACCAGCACCCTTTCTCTTAAGTCAACTGTTGTTTCATTTTTCTTTTCTTTTTTTGTCATTTAATTTTTTACTATTTTTTGTAATTAATATCTTACAGATCTAAATATGTTTCTATTCCCAATTTCTATTCAAAGTCCACACCTAAAGAAAAACTTACCTCCAAATTGATAAAAAAAAATTTACTAATGCAGCCATGGCTGGTGTGGCTCAGTAGACTGAGTGCCAGCCTAAAAACCAAAGGGTTGCTGGTTTGATTCCCAGTCAGGGCACATGCCTGGGTTGTGGGCCAGGTCCCCAGCAGAGGATGCTCAAGAGGCAACCACACATGGATGTTTGTCCTTCTCTTTCTCCCTCCTTTCCCCTCTCTCTAAAAATAAAGTTAAGTCTTAAAAAAGAAGATTTACTGATGCATTGTTCATATTTTGCAGTTAATACTTCAAACTTTAGCAAGAACAACATCTGAGAACTAAAAACAATGCATATTTATCTACCTCTGAACCCCACACTAATTGAGAAACATATCACAGAGCTTTATAACTCATCTGAGAGATCAGAAAGTCACAAGCTAAGTTATTTCTCCTCTACTCCATCTCCAAGGCAAGAGATTCTCTTCTAAGACCCAAGTAATTGTGTATCTTGTCAAGAGGAGCATGACATAGACCACCAAACAATGCCATGTGCTCCTGACATCCAGATCCTGCCTTCAGCAAGTCCATTCAATGCCACTAAGGTTCTCAAAGAGACTGCAAGTTATTTCAGGGTGGCAATGTGTCTCTTCTGTTACCTCTTCTGTCTCTTCTGTCAGCATATAATGCCTTGATCAGACTATTCCTAGAGAAGTCCCTCAGTCTATTGCACCAACCAGTCAACATCAGAAAATTCTTCAAATCCTCTAAAAAGGGTCCAAAGATCTCCACTGCAAGCCCAGCATTTTACCTGTTGTCCTTTTTTCTCTACTCAGGGGCCTTGTGCTAATATCTCTTGCCCCACCCTTTGGTTCTTTCTTTCCCATATAGGTTTCTCATCCTTCATCCTGCCTATATCCTCAAAAAACTCTGTAGATCCTAGAGAGAAAAATGAGGTGCTTCCAGAACCTTGGGACAACCTCTACTTCTGTTGTTCCAGGGTAATGAAGTCCCTTAACTTACCTCCACTGCTTCTTCAATTACTATGTCTGCTCACAGGTTAAGAACTGGCTTGGAGATGACGGGGAGATTATTGCAAAGGCAGGACTTGCTGACCTACAACTGTCTGTCTCAAGTTTCTCTTTTCACTGCTACTCTGGTTACTGAGAAGGCACTGCAGATGTCCTTAATTTGGAGGAAGGAGAGAAGAGCTGAGATTCTTCCTGACAACCTTTGTGTTGGGAATAACAGAAATCACAGTTCAGGGTCAAGAATAATAAATACAGATAGTAAGTAGCCAGAAGCAAAAGTCAGGTTGCTAAACTGGGGTTAAAAATAAGTTTGTGGGAAAATGGAGAAAGAAAGAGACCAGGACTCTGGATGAGGAGCCCAAGAGATCAACAAAGGATTGTACAGCCAAGCTGGAACAGAGAAGACATCAGCCGGAGACCAGAAGAAGAGGCTCTGTATTGAGTACTTAAGATGATCTAGGACCCATGGTACTATGGCTCCAATCAACCCAGCTCTTCAGGAATTCTAAAGTATTTTATGTTTGCATTTTGAAACCTGAACTGAGGACTCAGAAACAGGAAGCTGCTAGCTCTCAGGCTAATACTAGAAGGAGGGTGAACGTGCTCTACTTTGGGCATTTACAAACAGGGAATCATGGGACACAGTTCCCTAGAGCCTTGTTAGAGCTAACACTCACAACTGCCTAAATTCCCCTCTGTACTTCTTATAACAGACCAAATTAGTACAGTGCTGGCTTCATCTAAAATTTCTGAAAGCTTTACTTCTTTCTCTATGTTAAGTGGTAAACATGGTTCATGGGGAAAAACAGACTCTGTGTAAATCAATCTCCTTAGCTGCCTTCTTGCAACAAGACTTCTGTCCTTAAGCTCTTCCCTTACAAAATTCAAAACTGCCAATCTTCACATCAGTTTAGTTTAGTGGCATATGACATCTCTTTCTTAAATAGTTCTATTGCTCCTGGTTAAAGATATTACATTAAAGTCAAGCATCTAATTTCACTATCCTAAAATTCTAATGAGAGTAAAATGATTTTTAAAAAGATATGAAAACTACAAGGACAGAGAAGAGTGGAAAGTAAATAATAGTAATAGAATTTCAGATGTTGTAAACCATTGGATGAGGGAGTGGTAATCAAGACAATCTTTACAGTCTTCGACTCAACTGAACTTCAGACAACTTCTTTCTGACTATGGACCCTGTGCCTCCATTTTCTTACAGAGCTTTACTTTAAAAAACTTGCAATGTTAAAATTTCCCCTGCTCATCTGAAATGTAAATCTTCTTTCAGGCTCTTGCCAGTTTTACAATCTAGGAATTACTTTCTCAATGACCTGGGAACCATCCCTTTGAAGTGTAATTATCAAGAAAGCACACCTATCTCTCCGGGTCTCAGTGGGAGGGTGGGGGCCTAACTTCCATGGACGGACAGACAACAGACGGGCAATTAGCAAACACAGGTGGTATAATCGTTTGTCCAAGTCTCCTGGAACACCCTCCAGCATGTTGAAGCTGGCTCAACCCAGCACTGCTGAGCTACCTCTTATTTCAGGGGAGTTGAGTTCAATCTCTCCCCCCAACTGCAATAGTCTTTAATAAAGCTTCCCTGTCTAACCCTGTGTAATATAATTTTTTCTTTGACAGTGATAACAGAGTTAAGACATGGAAAAGCTTTCTGATCCATTCATTTACTGAGGGGCACTTAGGTTGCTTCTAGCACTTGGCTATTGTAAATTGTGCTGCTATGAACTTTGAAGTGCTGTACAGGTTCTTTTGGATTGGTGTTTCAGGGTTCTTAGGATACAATACTAGCACTGGAATTGTTGGTTCAAAAGGCAGTTCTATTTTTAGTTTTCTAGGGAAATTCCATACTGTTTTCCATGGTGGTTGCACCAGTCTGCAATCCCACCAACAGTGCACTAGGGTTGGTACATTTACACAGTGGAATTCTACGTAGCAGAAAGAGAAAAGGAGCTCCTACCCTTTGCAACAGCATGGACGGAACTGGAGAGCATTATGCTAAGTGAAATAAGCCAGGTGGTGAAAGACAAATACCACATGATCTCATCATTAACAGGAACCTAATCAACACAATGAAAAAGCAAGCAAAGCATAGCCAATGACATTGAAATTGAGAACAGGCTGACAGTGGCTGGAGGAGAAGGGGGTAGATAATGGGGAAAAAGGGTAAAGGGTTTACAGAAATTATTATAAAGGACATATGGATAATAACAAGGGGGGATGGAAAAAGGAGGGAGGTGGGGAAGGCTGAGGTGGTGAGAAGGGGTGGGGAGATAAGGCAGAAAACTGTACTTGAACAACATTAAAAAATATTTTGGCCCGGTAGTTTCCTTCTCTTTCTCTTCCTTCCCCTCCCAAAAAAAAAGTTTTTTTTTTACAGCTACCTATACAATGTGTTTGTGTTTTAAGTTAAGTGTTATTACAAGAGTCAAAAGGTTTAAAAGAAGACATGGAAAAGCTGAATCCTACTTTGGCAGTAGACAAAATAAAATAATCAATCTTGTCAACAGCAAAGAATC